TATCTAAAAATAACTATCCAATAGAAATACTAATAAATATAATTCAATAATAATTAATATATTTCTTATTCAATAAATTATTTGTCAAATATCATATCATGATAATATATATTATTTGATAGTATTATTCATTTATATTATAATTGAAATTTGAGAACTTGATATAACAAATACATATTTCTTTAACAAAAATCTCATTTATAATACTGAATTCAAATCTGATCAAAAATCTGCTTTAAAAATTTAAATCCAATTAAAAATTTGATTTGAGTTCAGTTTGAACTTTAAATCAAACTCAAATCTAATAAAAAGTCCAGTTTGAGTTCAAGTAAATATTTAATGAGCTTCTAAGTAAAGTTATAGATCAGAATTAAAGCTACAAGATAATTAATTAAAAATAAATATTTAAAAAGATATTTAAATTTAAAAATTATTTTTAATTTTTATAAGTTTAATTTACTTTAATTACTTTATAATAAATATTTATTTTGCTATAATAATAATAAATTATGATTATAAATAAAATTGTAATCAAAAATAAAAGCTATAATTTGATATAAAATAATTATTATTAATAATAATTATTCGAAGAGATATATAGAATTATAATAAAATTTAATAATCGTAAAAATAAAAATAATTTAGTTATTATTAAATAAACTTTTAATTTTACTAAATAGTATAATTAGCATTTATAATTTATAATTAAAATTGTAACTTTTACTTAGAACTACAAATTAGTATATAATACTATATGTTATTCTCTAATCAAACTCAAATCAAACTTGAATTCACGCAATGATTCAATTCAAGTTTGATTCAAATTTTGAATTTTTCTTAAACTCAAGCCAAAATCTGATTTAAATTTAGACTCAAATACAGGTAAAAGTTCTATTTAGTTTATAAGAATACTATTAAGAATAATTAGAATTAATTTAGTACAAATTTAGTAATTAATAATAATTTATAAATATATTATAATATAATAATTTGTACAAAAAATATTGTCTTCTTGTTAGTTATTAAATTAATAATTTCATTTATTTTTTGCAATTTTGCATAAATTTTAATTTGAACAAAGATCAACTAATAAAAAATATTAAATAAAATTAAAAATATCAAAAAATATCAAAATATTACTTCAAATTTATTAGCTTTCAATTCTAGAACAGTTATATAATAATGATAAAGAAGTATTATTTCTAAATTATTTAACTTATAATTTTATTTTGGTAAAAGAATTATCTTTGTAATACCTTCACATCAAAAAGTTCTATTATTTTCTAATTTGTTATTTATCTTATTAAATAATTTTTATTAATATCCAAAAAATATTATAAGTGAAAAAATTGATTTCAAATAATAATTTAATTAATTAAATTAATATATAAATCTTATTTGGAATAAACTAGTAATAGTAATATTTCACAAAATTTTTTTATTAAATATTATCAAGTAATTCATAATAATTTAGTATTTCAAATAGATTTTACAATATAAAGAAAATAATGAAAATAAATTAAAGTAATCAGAAGTTGAACTATTTCTTCTTATAATGCATTACAAATTTGAAAAAAAATTTTTTTATTTAATTCAATTTATCAGATGGAATTTTTATTCTTAAGCAAAGTTTGTACAAAGAATATGATTCAAATTATGATCAAACTACTTATAACAAATATATGTATAATATGATATATAAAATCTAAAGTTATCAATTGTTTGTATTTTATAAAATATATAAACAAATTTAATTCATAAATATAATAAAATGGAACTTTTTTGAGCATATTCATGAATTAAATTTTGTATTTATTTCTTAGTAAAGAAATTTATACATTTTATAAAATACAAATATTTGATAACTTTAGATTTTATATATCATACTTTATTTTTTCAAAAATACAATTGATTAGCATAAAACTCAGAAATAATTATTAATATAACTTGAAATTTCAATTTTATATATAAATTTTTTTCATATATAAAGTGTGAGAAAAAAATTTTTTACTTTCCAATCAACAATCCTTGCATTTTAAGTTGCTACAAGTCTTGTATTATTTTTTTTCAAAAATACAATCAAATGATATAAAAAATTTAGCTTGAAAATTTCCATTTGTTATATGTTTTATTATATAATTTTGGACCGGGCGATACTTTTGGGGGTACTGTACATTCGCGATATTCGGTCGTGATGATTAATAATGGATTTGGGATCGAATTGGCTGGGAAAAGATACATGTGAATTGCAAATCAACCTTCAAAAAGCCATTACCTTACTGAAGAAGATTGTGCGCCGCCAATTCCACCATTAAACCAATGCCGGATGCTCCTTATAAAATGAGAGGTTGGTTTCAAGAAGCAGAAGAAGGCTATGCACCACCAGAGGATAGCGGGATCGAGGCCTGCAACGAGTGTTGTAGAAACCAAAAGTTTATTGAAGATCATTTGATATTTGTTCTTTTGAGTTTTTTTAGTACATTAAAAAATCCAAACACCTTCGCCAATATTATGCACACTAATATGAAATAAGCATCGAAGAATCGTTAGCAAGTCCAATTCCCTCTATTCGTCAGCTTGTCAATGATAACTTCACAATTAATTTGCAGCCCATTCTTAAAGTCACGGGAAAGTGGCTTAAGTTGAAGATTCCAGACCAACTAGGAATGGTCAAACCTATGATCTTCATTATTTATACGTAGTAAATAAAATTCAGAAATTTCTATTCTAAATATGGCTGATACCAAGAAACCTGCAGACTCGTTGTCGAAACTACCAATGCAAGAAACTTCTCAACTCTCTGCTGCTGTAGAACTACCGGTGGGTCAAGTGCAAAAACTATACTTTTAATAATAATATTTCGAAAAAAGTCGTGTTACTGACACGTTTGTCTATATATATATATCTCTATAGAAAACTGCTACCAATGGTTCTAATAAACTGAAATCAATACAAGCTGAACTCGATCATTTGCTAATAGAGAAGAAAAAGGCGGACTTCAGTTTGGTGAGTATTATCTTGGTTAAATTCAAAAAAAAATATTAAACCGCGGTTAATTTGTTATATTAATACATGGTTTCTTACTTTGTTCATTATTTGATTATCAAATAGGCAGAAATTGAGTTTTCGATATACAATTTTGAAGGATCTTACCTAAAAGAGACTCACAACGGCAAGGGAAACTTATTGCGTGGGTTCTTCGGTAAAGTGCCGAAAAGTGCGTTAGATAAGAACGACCTGAAAAAGTTCGAGGTTAGGGAAGAGGACCGAATTTTCTCGAGATCTTCGTGGGTGAAATTGCATTTTCTCTGTATTGAATATGTTCAATGTGTTTCTCCTTCATTAACCAATCATAAAATGTACATCTTTGTAAAGGGTGACTTATGAGCAGGTAATGAATTTATTATTTACTTTTTCATATCGTATTATTTTATTCTTCGTCGAGAAAAAGAACTGCTTCATGTGCTTCTCTCATTTTATCTTGAATTAGTCTGTCACGATGAAAGAATCCCAAAAACCGATTTCTAACGATAGTTCCGAGGCCCAAAAATCTAACCTTCGTAAACAAAAAAAAAATCCTAGAAATGCCAAAAGGAGAAAGTATTGAACTTATCGCCATGCACCATTAATCATATCACAAACAACCACCACTTTTTCTGCCTTAAGCGATCGATTGATTCGCAAACGAAGAATTCGCGAGTGGGTGCGCACGAGATAATATTCCGGAAAATCAATTTTGCGTATTTATTTACTCATAATCTAGAACAATTTTGCGTGAATCAAGAAAAAAAGTCACGTTTATCCTTAAAACAGATCCGGTAATAGAGCGAGGAAAAACCGAGCTGGCAAGAAAATTTGCACACGGATAGATAATAAACTCTAAAGACTTTTTGAAATCTCTCTTAGAAAAAGTAGCTTAATATGAAATATCAGGTTATTTTATTTTATTTATCAGTAGTATTAGCTTATTACGACGCGTAATTTTATCACCGCGTATAATTATCATTATATTCCATTGTAGACTAATATATTCACCCACGTTTCATTCCGTGTTACAAATAAATGATAGATTATCATTGTTCTACATGTATTATGTATGTGGTACTTTTTCAGCAAGTAAGCAAGCAAGCATAAAACGATCAACTCTAACAATAAAACATGGTCTCTGAACAGAACCCAACGACAACAGCAAAAAACTGGTTGAAATCAAAACTAACAAGCTTAAAACGAACGGCAAACTTTACATTTTCTGAAGATGTTTTCATTTCAATTTTACTTTGTCTGGTGTCGGGTGACAAACACTTGATTCTGACAAGTAGACAGGAGGAACTTGAAGACTTACGAACAATGACAGAACAGGTTCCTTTTTTTTTACTCTTGAATCTGAGTATGAACTTGAACTGATTTGTTTTATTTTTGAGTATTTAGATATTCCCTCACATTTTTGGCCTGTCTTGCTCAACTATCACTTGCGATATTACGCAAACACCCACAGATTTTACTACGTGCCTGTTTAATCGACCCAGAGAAGAGAACCCTCCAGGTAATGGCGATGGTGGAATAACAATAGAAGAGTCAACAATCCACAGCCGTATAACTTCCCAAAAATCTCTAAGATCAATTCGAACAATAAATTCTACATACTCAACTGATAACGGTAAAAAATCGAATAAAAAGGCCCCCGCAAAGCGCCGGTCAAATTATTCACACATTTCTACGCATTCCACCACCTCGAACCACACCACCAAAGACTCATTATCGTCTGATTTCACGGATGGACTCGTCACTGAGGAGCCACAGACAATTGTGGGGACTGAGTATGATGAATCGGTACCTCCGATATTGGTTGTGGATAATAACCATAACGGTCATAATAATAATGGAAAAGGAGGAGGAAATGACGTGTCTGAAAAGGTAGTTACAAGAAATAAATTTTTTTCAAGGGTGACTTCCGACTTTGTGTTTGGTAGACAAACAAATTTTGTTTATAGTTGCCAGTTGTTTTTTTGTGTGGGTTCTGTGGCTGCTGCTATTCGAATCGAATCTAATCTGTTAATGGGATGGAGCATAGTCAAAGGAATGGACCAAGCCGATGGGTAGCGTGAAAAAAGTTGAGATTGACAAAGAAGTTTTTAATAAACCGACGCATCATCAATCACGACGAAGAAATACAATCATAGCTTCGGCACCTTCACCGTCATCATCACCACCACCATCATCATCATCAGCAGCCAACGCTTTTGCCTCCTCCTCCGCATCACCACCATTAGACACTATCTCGATGCGCCATAATCTGAATATATTCACAGGGTCACCGCGAAAAAATATATATCCTTCCACCCAATTCCCAGTCACTCCGTTGGATTTCATGTTCTCGCGAAAAAGACACGAAAGTATAAGTATTAGTGGTCAGGAGTCACCTTCTCATATTGGCTCCAAAAGATTGGCACATGCTGTTATTGTTGAGGGATTGGAAACGAACGAAACGATACATGCATTCTTGTTGGAGGTATTTATTGTAGTTTTCTTTTTTGATTAATAGTATCGTGAATTTTTTTAATCTGATGTGCAAATTTTATCTGTCGATAGATGTTAATAAGAAAACAAGTAACTGATCGAACAACGAGTTATAATTTACCACGACCGTTCATTGTAGTAGCATTGCTTCCTCTATCTAATACGCGATACAAATTGCCAAATCAATTGGTAAGAACAAACAAATATTTTTCTCAATTATATATGTATCGTTCATTATAAATGTCGTTCAATGATGGAGTAATAAAAATAAAAAATTTATTTAGCTTGATAGGTTCTTTATTAGTTACACCTACGAAGGGATAATAGGAAATAGTGGAACTGGAAAAGCGCCTTTAGTATTGAATCGTAAAAACATGGTTCGATATGCAGTATGAACCTTTTAACGAATTCTCTCCCATTCTTTGATTTGAAAATTTACCTGATACGCGTAATTTATCCAAAATTTTGTTTTTTTTTGTAATTCGCGTTTTTCAGGAAATTGAGGATTTCTCCAGAAAGATCGAGAAAGTATTCATTCATAATGACATGCAGAGATACATCCGCGATGTTGTTATCGGGGTTCGGACACACCGTATAGTGAAAGGTGGTATAACCGCTCGCACATCATCCGATCTTGTGACTCTAGTAAAGTAAGTTTTTTCGGATTCTATTGACTTGGCGCGACAACAAAAATATAAATTTCCGAATTTTCGTAATAGGGCTTTGGCCGTAATATTTCAAAAGAATTTTGTCACCCCGGAATTGGTATTGATAGCCAGCGAAAAGGTGTTTTCGCATCGATTGATAAGACGGGAGATTGGCGACGATAAAAGTACAATGTATGGAACTAGTTTACATACTTTGTTGAAGTTACGAAATTCTGTTTCTGTTGCTTCCGGTGGTGGTACTCAGACTCCAGGCGATGTGGTAGCTGATGTATTACAAGCGGTTAGACCACCAGCTTAGTACTAGAATGACGTAATAATAGATGGTTGTCATACAAATCAACATTATTCTTAATAATCATAATTATAATATAATTAATAGTGATGATGCTTTGTTTTTACTCGTTCCCTCACCATAGATGCAACTTTTGCCAGCCATAACTCGCACAATTTTATCACGTTAGAATTGATTGGGTACATTTCAATCAATTTAAATACGCCAACTTTTCAAATTCTTATTTTTTTAGATTTTGTAAAATAATATATTTAGTCGTCCTCCTTCGTTTTTTTTTTAGTTATTTTTTTATTTTCCCTCTACTTGCTTAATATTTTCTTACATCTGTCATTAAGAAAGAATTATTTTTTTCACTTGAGAGATCCAACAATGTCTGAAACTCAACCACTTCTTCCTCCAGACACTCAACAACTACCTCTGCAAAGACGCATTGTGGCTCCAGTTCGAGTAGAACCTAAAGTTAGTAGAATTTAGAAGGGATTTTTTCTTGAAAATAAATATATTTGATTTTGATGAAACATTTTATTATATGGTAAATAGGTGTTTTTTGCGAATGAGCGAACATTTCTCTCTTGGCTGCAATTCACAGTTGTACTTGGTGGTCTCGCTATCGGACTCTTGAATTTTGGTGATCGCGTTGGAAGAATATCGGCTGGTTTATTTACATTTGTTGGTAAGTTGATGCGACCGATCAAATAACAGGATGTCGTCTTTATCACTTTATATTTTGTATTAGCTGACGACTCTAGAATTAATTTTTTTTTAATCTTTATATTAGCAATGGTTGTAATGATTTACGCGTTAGTCATATACCATTGGCGAGCCGATAAAATACGAAAGAGAGAGGGAGCACCGTATGATGATCGAATAGGTCCTACTGTTTTATGCATATTCTTGCTTGGTAGATTTTATTATTTATTTAATGTGCCCATTTTTTGTCGTTACTTCATTCTTTAATTTCGATTGTTTCCATTTTGATTTGTAGCTGCGGTTATTACTAATTTCGTTCTTCGATTTACTAATTAAAAATCTAGAGCTTGATTTAGTATCTTATTGATATTATTATTATAGCTTAATATATATATTGATAGAATATGGATGGATGAGGAATTTGTAATTTCGCTTGAGTAATTTATATATTGCTGGCTTTATTTTGGTTATTCATTGGTTGGTTAGTTAAATATAAAATAATTAATTGGAGATTGTGTGTATACTTGAAACATTAATGTAGTAATAAATAACAAATAATCATCTTTATAGAAAAAACCAGGTAGAAATAAGTAATGGATTTTCCCCTAATATTATTGTTATTATATTTGCAATAAAAAGGATTATGGTCATATCATTTTATAGTATTGTTAAACTCTTCCGACAACTATTTTTTAATGGATCAAAAAAAATATAAATTCATTAGATTTACGATAGCAAAAGATTCTCTCGATTAATAAATACTCACCCCACGGACGACGATCCATTGGACACAACCCGCGGCTGCCTTCGGTCTCGCACCACTTCAACACGCAATGCATATGAAACACGTGTGTGCACTCACCCCACACTATATAATTAACAATAATATCAACGTTGTATCTTGAAAATAAAGTTGATATTTAAAACTTATGTACTTAGTGGACAATCATCGCCAGGAGTTTTACAGGTTGGACAACAGGCCTCAAACTGAACACGACAAATTCCACATACTTCCTCGTTGTCGACGTCCCAGCGCCACGCGGCTACCGCTTGCCAACTATATATTTTTCGTTTGTTCAGTATTTGTTTGTCTGTCTGTCTGTCATAATTTGAGGATAAAGAGCAAAATGAGATTACCGTTTTATTTTCACTTTCATTATTTAATTTTATTTTTGTAGTTCGAGGAAAGTTCGAGTATATATAGATAAGATGCACGCTGATTATCATTACTAAATATATTCGATTTGATTGAATAAAAAAATCCGAATATTTTTCACTTATAAATGTAAAATGTCTGTCACTAAAGAATCACTTGAAAAGACACTCGGCGAGAAACTTAAAGCTGAGCACGTTGAAGCATCAGATACATCCGGTAATAACATGTAACTAAGTAAAAAAAATGTGAATAATTCAAGTTGTCAAAATGAGTCTAATTTTTATCATAGGAGGATGTGGTCAAAGCTTCGAAGTTATAATTGTATCATCACAATTTGACGAGAAGTCATTGTTACAACGGCACCGGCTGGTGAATGAGGCTATAAAAGATGAAATTTCGGAATTGCATGCTTTTTCGCAGGTATGTTGGTGATGGGGGTGGTGGTCGGTGATTTATAGGTTGACTTGTCTTTCGGCTGGCTGGCTCATGTACTGTTATTTATTTAGAAAACCTATACTCCAACTCAATGGATTGAACAGCAACAGCAACAACAATCTTAATAATCTCATAAAGGGATAGTATTTTTTTTCTTTTACTAATAAAATCTTGCTATTTATTAAAGAACATACCCAAGGAATAATAAATACTAATTACAATGATAGTCAAAAAAGATGTACAATAAAGAAATTTTACCGATTTGGCGATCAACAATAAATAGACTAAATTTTGGTTTTTACCTTGCTCGACATTCTTTTAAATCATAAAAATTAACAATGGCACAGGATAACCCCAATGCAAACATGGGCGTGAAGGTCATGATAGAGCAAGAACAAAACGAAAACACTATAAATTCATTCTACAAAAGTTTTGAAGAAGAGGAAGATTCTGGGCAAGACAATGAGGACTCTATTTTAGAAGATTCTCCTGATTCTGATCACAATGATTCCAACCACTCTGTGTCTTTCTCTTCGGATATTGGAACCGAGGAAGAAACAGAGAAAGACATTGAACACGACGGCGAAGATTCTATTACACAAAATTGCTGCCCTATATGTCTCCACCAGTTCCAAAATCCAAGTTACGTAATTTCTTGCTACCACACTTTTTGTTTCGCATGTATTAGAGAATGGCTCTCAGTCTCGAGAACAGTCCTGTGTCCGCTATGCAAGGCACGGGTAGAGGTTATAGTTCATAGTATCGACGAGAACAATAATAGTTTTAAAAAGTTTCTGGTTGATGTTGACGAAGAAGGATTTCAAGATACCTTGGTACCATTAAGACGTCGTAGCAAGAAATATAACAATGTACAACAGCAAGCAAAAATATGGGGTAGTGGTAGCGGCAGCTTGCTGCCATCATTAGATTTATCATCTTCAACAACGGCAATAAAGAATCGACGCAATATATACAATCAAGATCTTACGCCAAAAGACTCTCGTGGTCGAGTGCACAGTGGCTCCGTCTCTATAAACACAATGAAAATCGAGCCACGGGATTTAGATCGTCTACGTCCTTTTATAGAACGTGATTTATTGGCGTTGATTCCTCCAGACACATATGATAATATCATCTTAGAGTACGTGCAAGGATTGTTGGTGATGCCGTATCAACAACCACCACCAAAACGGCTAATTTCATTATGGGATGAAGTTTATCGTCTGCTGCGCCCATTGTTGGGTCAATGGGCTGAGAAATTTGTCGAGGAGGCTTGTCGGTTTGCGTTTAGTGGAATGGATATTGTAACTTGGGATCGAATGGTGGATTATTCGTGAATAGTAATTAAAAATGACATTAAATCGACAATTACATCGAGTGAATAAAATAAATTGATTTATTTTTCTGTCTTTCTATCATAAAAATTACTTCTATCAGAAAACTATTACTTATGAAATAAATCATTATCAGTCTAGTCTACTGCGCATCTATTTTATGTATTGGATTAAGAAAAATAATAAAAAATAGTCCTTTTGGAATTCCAGTTTCAACTCAGTCGATCAGCACACCGGCACATTAACAGCCAATCCACCTTGACTTGTCTCTTTATATTTACTCTGCATATCAATCCCGGTTTGACGCATTGTCTCGATAACCTGATCGAGTGTCACGCGATGGTGTCCGTCTCCGTTTAGAGCTAGTTGTGCTGCAGTTACAGCCTTAATAATAGATACATTAAAATAAAAAATATTTATGATGATGCATTCATTAAAAGAGGTAATAAATAAGCTTGCGAGCTCTGCTAAACGAAAATCTTATTAGTAAATATATACCTTCACCGCACCTAACGCGTTTCTTTCAATGCATGGAATTTGGACGAGACCATCAATCGGGTCACATGTTAACCCTAAATTATGTTCCATACCTATTTCCGCGGCATTTTCGACTGTCAAAATGCACGCATGAGATAGGTATATTTTTTGCAGCCAATAATATCGGAGTGAAATTGATTAGTATAAATAAATACCTTGTTCAGGAGTACCACCCATCACTGCGGTGAATGCCGCTGCACTCATACTACAAGCTTTTTTAAAAGAAAAACGATGTTGAATGATAATTTTATTTCCGAGTAACTCGAGACAAAAAAAAACGATTTCACGTACCAACTCCAACTTCGCCCTGACATCCCATCTCAGCCGCACTTATAGATGCACCTCGTTTATACAGCATCCCAATAGCAGCACTAGTGAACAGGAACTCCATCACATCGTGTTCCGGTTCTGTGGAAATGAATTCTAAATAGTATTTTAACACGGCTGGGATTACACCTACGTACGCGCGACATAGAAATTAATTATTCGTGAGATTAATGTCGAGATCGATTTTTGTTGTATAAACACATACATACCTGCAGCTCCGTTTGTTGGCGCTGTGACTACTCTGCCACCCGCTGCATTCTCTTCGTTTACCTTTGAATAAATAATTTAATTAATTAATACAAGATTTATATTCTAAAAATATTTGATGTGGACAATTACCGAAATAGCGTAAACACTAAGATATTCCAACGCAGGTAACATCGATCGTTTCGGTTGTCGCTTCGGAAGCGGATGTGGCAAAATTTCACGCGTCGACAAATGGGTAATCTGGTCATTTCCCAGACTTATAGTAATATCGTTACGATGACCATGACCATGACCAGAAGCCGCCGCCGACGACGATGAATATAACCCTCTCAATAATTTTTCATATAATCTCGGCGCTCGTCTCTTAACTTGCAATTTACCCGGCAAATACTCTTCACTGCTAAGACATCCATTCTCGATACTTTTATTCATCGTCTCCCAGATATCCATGACTTTTTTCGAAATCTCCTTTTTACTTCGCCATCGTAACTCGTTCTCGTATACCACTTGAGCGATGGTCAAATTTTCGCGTTTACACACACTTAATAGTTCTTTGGCGTTACTGAATGGTAGTGCGGCTCTGGTGACGGCCATATCTTGTTGTGTACGCGTTTTGGAAATCGTGCTCTTGTCGTAGCTTTTGTAGAAGAGGTTTTCGCCGTGTCGGATTTGTGTTGCTTCGTTGACTACAAATCCGCCACCTATTGAAAAGAATTCGTTGGTTGCAACCTGTCGAATTTATTATTAACATTATTATTGTTCAGAATAAGCTATAATGATAACAAATTAGACTTGAATATTGAAGAGATATATTAGATTCTAATCTTACCAGATCACCAAGTTTATTGAATGCACAAAAACGCATGCCATTTGGATGCTGTGGTAACGACTCAAAGAAATGAAAGATCAAATGTTTTTGTTCGAATTGAATTGGATGCGATCCGTCAAGATTAAGAATTCCTATAAATCATATGCACACAAGCATACACAGACAATATGAAATTTCTTTCCAGGAAATACAATAGCAATGATCATAACAATTTATTTTCAAGCCAAGAAATAACAAATACCATTATTGTAGATTGATTCTACCCTCGATGCTATTGTGGACGTTTCAACACCTTCCGGCGTTTCACCTTCCATACCCATCAGAATAGCATTTGGCGTACCGTGACCTCTTCCGGTCAGTGCAAGTGACCCGAATAAATCTATTCGTAGGGAATGGACCTATGTTAATCGAAAATTTAAAACGAATACCATTCACATTATATATAGATAAGTGTTACTCTGCCATGATACATTATGGATCAGCCAAGTGAATAATTTAGTTATACCTTTTCAAGAACACTATGCGATTTCAGATCATTAATAAATATCTTTGCAGCGCGCATTGGACCCACTGTATGACTTTATTAAAACAAAAAAAAAACATCTGTAAATTTGTCTAGTTTACTCAAACTTGCAACAAACCTCAAATAATAAAGAATAAATAAAATACCTTGAAGAGGGACCAATTCCAATTGAAAATAAATCAAAAGTAGAAACTACAGCGTGTATCTCTGTATCTGCACTGTTACTGCTGGTACTATTTTTTTCTTTTTCAGTGTTGATTGGTACATTCGTATCAGTAGTTAATGGAATCTCGGTATTTAAGGGGATTTCAGAGGTCAAAGGGAGATCGTACGCATACACCGAAGCTGCTGCTACTTGTTGGTCAATATCTTTTCCGGAACCAAGAATTGTAGCATTTATTTGATTATTTGATTTTGAGGATGTGGTGTAATAGTGATTTTGATATAAGAATGATGTAAACTTTGGTGATATTGGTAGCGACCGAGATGTTTTTGATTTTGAGTAGTTTAAACCTTCTAGTAATGAACGACAAGAGGAGGAGGTCAAATTTGAAAACGAACAAAACTCAGATGTGTTTGAGCGAAAAAGGGTCATAGTATTATTATTAGCCCCGTGCTTGTTGGATTTGGGTGTAATCCGCCAAATGCATGAGGAAAGACGCGTCAAAGACATTTTTTAGTTTTTTGTTCTGAAAAAAAATATACTCGCAAAAGAATAAAGAGGAAAGAGAAGAGTTGATAAAGAGAAGGGCATTATTAACATTATTAATTATTAACAATAGTTTTATGCCAAATGCGTGATCTTTATTCAAAGATAATTATTCTATGTGATCGAATTTTTCCCACGGTGTTTGCTGAAGATCAGTCAACCAATTTAGCATATCGATATTAATTAACTATATCGGTATTAACTAATTAGATGTTTGATCATAATGACAACAGGAATAACAGAAATAGACGAACCAGTTTTCGTTAGTGATGATAATGAAAATACAAATGTTGGACGACGCCTACTTCCACCCGGTAATTTAGAAGGCAAAGGTAGTAGTAGTCGCCTTCTAATACCACAGAACTACTGGTGGATACTAAATCCAAGAGAACCAATAACCACCTACCTGGAACTATTCTCCTGGAAATTCTACGCGTTCGGGTCTGAGGTCTATGCGATAATCTCTTTATCCTTCATGGGTCTAATTCTCGAACGTCTGGCCTCCCAACAAGGCGTAGTAACCTCCGACTACATCACCCCATGCACAAACTCCTCGGCACTTGTAGCATCCGAGGAAATCAGATGTGTGGTGAAAATTTTCGGGAAACATGTAGACACAGCCGCGTTTAGCATGTACACTTTTTCATCGAGCGTTTTTTTGCAGGCTATTACGGCAATTTCGATTGGGGCGGCTGCTGATCATGGAACAATGCGAAAATTTTTGTTGCTGCTATTTTCGTATGTTGGGGCGGTGTCGACAATGCTGTTTTTGGCGCCCAGTTTGTTCCTTGCTTTTGTGGCTATTTTGTCGAATGTTTGTTTTGGGGCATCGTTTGTGTGCTTGAATGGTTTTTTACCGGTTTTGGTAAGAAATCATCCGGATATACGCAAAATCGTCAATGATATTAATTATTATCTTGGTGATAAAACTCGAAGTAATACTGCGGTAAACGACAATGATGACTTAACAACAGAAACTACTGCAGCAGGAAATAATCTATATATAAATGAGAATATTGAACAAGTGTCATTATTGAATGATGCTAATGAAGATGAAGAATCGAGAACAACAAGAGTCTCACCATCGTCATCATTAGCAAAAGACGAGAAATTAACAAACCTCTTCGAAGAGCTAACAACAACTAAAGAACAATTAAGTTCTCGTATTTCCCTACAAGGTTTCTCATGGGGATATCTTGGCGGGATTATTCTGTTAAGCGTGTGTTTTCTAATTTCAATGTCACTCGACGGATCCGTATATAGTCTTCAGATCGGTGTGTTTCTCTCGGGTTTATGGTGGTGTCTGGTCACTTTGATAGTGTCAAGATGGCTGCCAAATCGCCCTGGACCGCCGTTGAAAAATGTTTCTGGTGAGAGGTTGAGGTGGACCAATTATGTCACGTATTCGTGGAGTCATTTGTGGTTGACTGTTAAAGAAGCGAAAAATTTGACAATGACTTTTCGATTTTTGGTTGCGTGGTTTTTGTTGTCTGATGGTATATATGATATTTAATCATTTATTGTATCAATTAAGATTTATTGATTTTAATATTTAATATGGATTTTGATTATAGGATATACTACAATTTCATCAGTATCATTGTTGTTCGCACAGACAACTTTACAACTACCATCTACAAGTTTAATCTTCATGGCACTAATAACCCCAATTTCCGCGCTATTCGGCACAATCATCTGGCCAAAACTGCAAATCGGCTGGTTGAACCGAACACCAAAACAAACGATCATCACCCTTCTCTTTTTATTTTCAATTATCCCGTTGTACGGCTGTCTCGGATTCGTACTACCCATTGGCGGACTAAAATCCGCGTCGGAAATGTACTTTCTGGCAGTGCTTTTTGGTTTTTTGGTGGGTAACATACAAGGATATTGTCGGACACTGTTTTCAGAGTTGATTCCGCGTGGGAGAGAAACAGAGTTTTTTGCGTTGTATGCTGTTACTGATAAGGGATCTAGTTGGTTAGGGCCGATGTTGGTGGCGATCATAACCGGTGAGTTTTCCGACTTATTGCAGTCCTTGTATTGAAAGTCGGTCTCACCAATTTTTCATTTTTTCGACCAAAACAAAAATAGATGTCACACATGAAATACGATATGGATTCTTTCTGCTGCTCGTATTAATATTATCACCGATTCCAATTATATATAGTTTGGATGTTAAAAAGGGTCGGGAAGAGGCATCAAATGCAGAGAACAATCAATTCGAGACTATATAGTTACTCACTTTCATTACTTAAAGCAATGATTTGAACAATTATAATGACAATTCACTGTTATTTCTTTTATTCCATTCAATAGCTTGCATTATTAATTTATTAGTTGGTATTCTTTTCATCGTATAAATTTTATTTTTCTGAAAAAAAATAGAAACTTATTTTATTTTTCCATAGCACCACCCCGTCTCAGTTATTTGTTGGTGTTTTTTTTCCTCTGTTTCTTATTCAACGTGAACGGCTGCGTGAACGCTTCTTGGAGTCTCCTTATTTTTTGGTCACCGATTCCGGGGCATGTTGATAATTCGTCGGTTGATGCAGACATGATGTTTTTGAGGGACTAGGCGAAATCAAATTCAGATTTTATGTGAATAAAGGGTTTGGATGATGATGAAGAAACGAAAGATGAAGAGGAAGAATAAGAATGCAAAAAAGTACTCCAAACTGCGACGAGAGCGTCAATACATCTGTTTTGTTGACTGATCGTATTTGTGTGAGGCATTGGGTTAACTGTGAAATATTTCAAGAAAATTTCAGTATATACATAAGGTTTGAGTTGCGAGATAATCAGGTTTTATAGTTAGAAAAAAGACCTTTGCATGATAATCACTCTCCACTTTTTCCATGATAGAATCAGGAGGTCGGTTCTCGAATGCTTTGAACGTTTCGAGGTACTTTCCTGCCTCTTCTTGACTTTTGTTTTCGTCATATCAAAACAGATAGACATAAAAATCGTGACGATACAATTATTCAACCAAATAAAAATCCGAGTTTATCCAAATACCTCCAAGCAAGCATAATCGTGAAATTATTAGTCACACTTATCTTTGTCAGTTCACGAATTGGATCTTGGTGGCTATCCTTTGGTGTTTGTTTGTTTGTTTGTTTTAGCTCTTGGAATTAAAATATGAAGATCATAGAGCATGGTATTATAGAATAGTCTACTTACAACATCGACCAAGACTAACAGAATCCGTAAATTGAATTGATACATGACCATCTGGATTCTCGTGAATATATATTCGGGATGAAGACGATGATATCTGAGACTATAGTAATTTCCCATTAAAAATAAATATGTCGACATTAATTTGATTTATAGTAATTGACGAGATGTAACAACAATGACAAACCTTAAAAACAAGGCACAAGTAGTCGATCCAACAATAAAATCAGGCGCAATCTCGCCATACTCCCACGGCACATTTCTAATGTATTGTAATAACGGATTACCCCTCTAAAAAGAATTTATTATTTGAAAAAATTTCACACTCTTTCATGCGTGATTTTTACTATATTGATAAATTACGCGTTAAATTCCCAAAAATTCTATATTCATTTATTCAAGCTTTTAAACTCTATTATCATCGGTTGTAGTTGATGTTGACGAAGTGGTTACCTGTCGTTCACCATTCACAATAATAGGTCCGCCAGCTCTTCTATTCGCTAACGAACTAGTCGACGATGACGCTTGGCTAGTATTCGTTTCACCTTCATTTCCACCGCCACCATTACTGTTATTAACGTTGCTAAAATTTCCTAGATCTAACGCTTCGCGCGCACACCTTACAAAATAATCGAATCGCACCGGGCCTAATAAGATTCCACTGAACCATCGCGGTATGCTCACTGCGACGTTCACGAGTTCTAGCGTTTTTAGGAGGTTTAGGATTAAGATGCTGGCGTCGTCTTCGCCATCATCGTCGTTTTCTGTGTGTTTGATGACAATCATATCAAAAACTAAATGCTATTCATATAATAATAAAGAAAATATGGGAAAAAAATGTGCCCGTACGAAACCTTCCAACAAATTTCCATTTTGATAAATACGATACGCTAAAACATAATGGGTGGCATTTTGTTCTTTGTTCCTGACAGTAGCTTTGAATGCCTCAACCTCGTGAAGGTCAGTGACTGTAGTGGCTAACGCGATAAATGTGCTTCCTCTGTCTTTTATCGGTGTGCTGCGAAATATGTCTCTTGAGAAACCATTTCCTGACGCATTGTTGTTATTGGCATTGTTATCATTACCAGAAGTATCAATATCCATTGCTGAAATGTAATTTCAAAGAAATTTTTGGTGATCCAAATAATACTCTACGACAGTATATTCTAGAACATTGCACATTTTAGAAAGTAAAAATCAAAAAATTTTTGATTAAAAAATGGCGCGCGGGAAAACCTACCCAGTAACAAGAAAAAGGAAAGTAGCGGAGTCCGAGTTCCCCAACCAAAAAAAAAAACCTGTAAAGAATGACAAAGACAATAACAATAATAATAGAAATAACACACAGGACGACATTAATTCGAAAACTATAACTAATAAAAAAACCGAAATTCCTAAAATCAAAAAAACCACCACCACAACAACGAAAAATTCTAATATTAATTTATCTACTCAGCTCAATAAAAAAGAAACCGAGAAAAATTCAAAGTCAGATATAACTAATAATGCAAAAACATTATCTAATAAAAAACATGATGTTTCGAGTAAGCACGAAAAAATAGCGGGTAATCAAATAAAGGGTCATTATAAATATAATAGAAATAGGTATCAGGTCGTTGAGGAGGAGGAGGAGGAAGAGGATGACGACGACGACGACGACAAATTTGATAATTTGCAAATTGATATACAGTCAGATGAAGAGGAAGAAGAGGAAGAACTTCAAAGTTCTGATAATTCTGAAGAGATTGTAAATACTCTGGGTCGTTTTGATGATGAGGATCTAGAAGAGGATGACGACGAACAGTCAGGTTTGTGGGGTGACGAAAATGATAGTGATTATATCGCAGGAGATAGTTTGGAAGACAGTCAGCTCGAAGAAGAGGATGATGATGACGAGATTTCTGATGTAAATGAAGATGAGATAAACCCGGGCGAGAAAAAAGAGTGCGCATTAAATATAAATTTATTATTCTATTTTTGGTATCTTATTATATGTCAAAGTAACCGACAATCTAATTGAATAGTTCTTGGATTTGATAGAGAAGAACAAGAAGAAAAAGATAAAGAAGTATATGTCACCGGGGCAAACGGATATCCGCGTAAAATATTGCCCGAAATTAATCCTGTTTATGATAGTGACACGTCAACAGAAATGGCAAGTTTTTGATGTAAATTTAACTTTTAGAAATTATCAAATAAATTAATTATATTTTTTAAAACAGCCGCCAAACACTGTTGGTAATATTCCGATGGAATGGTACGACGATTACCCGCATATCGGGTACGATATAGACGGTAAAATTATAATGAAGCCCGCGAAAGGGGACGAGTTGGATGAGTTTTTGGATAAAATGGAAGATCCTGATTACTGGTATTTTAATTTAATAAATTCGATTTAATCATTTTTTTATAATGTGTTAAATAATTTTTATCGTTGTTCAGGATATCCGTGAAGGACAATCTTACACAACAAAATGTGAAATTGACTGACGAAGAACTAGATATAATACGTCGTATTCAAATGCACGAGATTCCTGACGCGAATTATAACCCATATGAACCGATGGTCGAGTGGTTCACAAGTAAGCCGGAAGTGATGCCATTGAGTGCGGCGCCGGAGCCTAAACGACGATTTGTTCCCTCGAAATGGGAGGCGAAGCGGGTACCGTTTAGTAATTTATTTATTATCTATTTATTTATAATATGTGGTTTTTTTTGACTTTGGTTTTGGACATTTTTGATAAAGATTATGAAAATCGTCCGCGGAATTCGCGAAGGGAGAATAATTACCAGAAAGACGCAAGTACAAAAACCACGATTCTATAATTTATGGGCTGATAGTGACCAGCCACGACAAGATCATCCGATGCATATACCTGCACCGAAAATGAAACTACCCGAGCACGATGAGAGTTATAATCCACCCGCCGAGTATTTGCCGACTGATAAAGAAAAGGAAGAGTGGGAGCAGATGGATTCTGAGGATAGAGAGAAGAATTACTTGCCGCAAAAGTGAGTGATGGTTCACTAATTCTTGTCTTATGTTTGTTGTATATTTATTCAATTATTGTTGCATTTGTTAGGTATTCAAGTTTGAGGGCCGTTCCAGCGTATGGAAGATTCATACACGAGCATTTTAACCGATGTCTCGATCTTTATTTGGCTCCACGCATTCGACGAAATAAAGTAAACTAATTTAATCAAAAAGAACCTTTGTTATTTATTACATTACAGCAACTAATATCTTTCCTCGAATTACTAATTAAAATTTGTACTTCAACTTCTTTTAGCTTAACATCGACCCTGAATCTCTCATTCCAAAACTTCCGAACCCGAAAGACCTCCAACCATTCCCTACAACACTCACATTCTCATACACAGGTCACACAGCTCGCATACGCTGTTTCTCGATCGACCCGTTGGGACTATGGCTAGTGTCCGGTTCTGACGATCAAACAATAAGGGTATGGGAAATAACTACGGGACGGTGTGTTTATACTTGGACGGTAGGAGATATCGTGCATTCTATTGCGTGGTGTCCGAATAAAGACGTTTGTGGGTTTTTTGCGGCCTTGTAAGTTTTATTTTTCGCATTTTTATTTGGCTTTTTAATAAATAATTTTTAAATATAATCTCTGATTTTTTTTTAATTAAAGTTCTAATAAAGTCGCTTTCATCTCGCCTTTTAAGCTTTGTGACGAGGAAATGTATGTAGTCACGAATCGATATGTCACGGCAGGGCACAATCAAATTCAGAAAGATGGTATATTTATTTATCTTTCTCATCATCCATTCCAAAAAATGATCCATCCTAAACTTGGATTATATATTATATTTGTAAACTTACACAGATAAAAAAAAGAGTGCGCATTGGAGTCAACCTACAGAACAAGAAAAGGAATTAGGATATCTTGTGATTCTTGATCATTCTCATTCAAAGGTAATAAATCAATCAAGTTGCTTGTAATAAAAGAGAAATGACAAAATCATGATTGTTTAATATTTTTCGAAGACTGTTAAGCAAGTTACTTGGCATCGAAAAGGCGATTATTTTGCTACTTTGGCACCTGATGGTATAGAATATTTCTATTCTTGTGTAATAAAAATTGGCGTATATATTTTTTTTGGATAACTTTTATTTTTCGCCGATTTCTTTAGCTGGCAATCAAGGAATCCTAATTCACCAACTCACAAAACACCAAACACAACAACCATTCCGAAAAATCAAAGGACTCATTCAACGTGTCATGTTTCATCCGATAAAACCGCTGTTTTTTGTAGCAGTAAGTGTATTAAAATTCAAGTGTATCATTAAATTATTAAACTTTTTTTTAATGTCGTCAATTAATCTTGGATATAGACTCAAAGATACATCCGAATTTATAATCTGATTAAGCAAGAGGCGACAAAGACATTACAGGCTGGCGTAAAATGGATATCTAGCTTAGATGTTCATCCTTTGGGTAATTCTATCAAATATGTCTGATATGGAAATCGTGTCTTTTTCGATAATAAAATCTATTTCTTTATTCTCATTAATTAATTAATTAATTAGGTGATAACATCATCATTGGTAGTTACGATAAACGTCTATGTTGGTTCGATCTAGATTTGTCCTCACGACCATACAAAACATTAAGGTAATAATAATTTGGTTATCTATTTCTTTTTCCTTCCTGATTTAGGGTTAAAGATAATTCTTTTACTAATTCTTACGAATAAATATAGATATCATTCAATGGCTATTCGAAGTGTTTCGTATCACAAAAGATTTCCGTTATTTGCATCGTGCAGTGACGACGGTTCAATACAAATATTTCACGGGATGGTGTATAACGACCTGTTACAGAACCCGTTAATTGTGCCAGTGAAGATTTTGAAAGGTGGACATAAAGTAGTTGATAGTCTTGGTATGTGTTTGTAACCATAATTGTCTCGTTCTATTATCTTGTTTCTCTTTTTATTTATGCTCTCATTTTTTGTTGGTTTCTCCAGGAGTCTTGCATTGTGAATTTCATCCCACGCAGCCTTGGATAATTTCTTCGGGGGCTGATCATCAAATTAACTTATGGACATAATATATAAATTCATGGGATCTAGAGTTATATAGCATATACATTTTTGTATAAATATAGATCGTAAATTAAATGAATCAGCGGAACGATCGAAATATAAGACCGGAATAAACTCGATTGTACACGTGTTTGCCAAGTAAATAACTGGAGGTCCTTCCACAACAGTGAACTCAAAATCGCATAATACACAAAAACAATAGGTACACTCGGTGGACAAAAGTTTACAATCAGCAATGATCTACAAATGTAGACCACGAAAATTAGGGTAACTTCGACA